AATAAAATGAAACTGCAACCTTCTACTGAGTGTCGGAAATGTTTTATGGTACAGTAGGCTGCTAGTAGTTCTCGACCAAAAGCGTTATATCTCGTCTCCTTGGGAGTAAGGCGTCGTGAGAAAAATTCGAGAGGTTGCCGACTACCGGGGATGTTCTGTTGCATAACGGCTCCTATAGAAAAATTCGATGCACCAACTGCTATACTAAACGTGGCTGATGGGTCAGGATGAGCGAGGAGTGTGACTTGAGACAGAGACGTTTTACTCCCTGAAAATGCAGTATTTGCGGCATCGTTCAATTCTAACTTGCGTGGGTTACCGCAAAGTAAATCGGTTAATGATCGTAACCGTTCTGCCGCGTGTGGGATGAAACGTCGATAGAAGTTAACCAAACCGAGAAATGCTTTCAGTTCCTTGACTGTGGACGGCATGTTGTACTCCCTTATTGCACGTATCTTGTCCTCGCAAGGTAAAATACCCTCTTGCCTAATGATGTGACCCAAGAATATTATTTCTGGTTTACCAAATTCACACTTGTCCGGGCTGACTACTATTCAATTATCCGAAAGACGTTGGAATAAGAGTGTTAGATGTTGATAATGTTCATCTACATTAGATGATGCGATTAGCAGGTCATCAATATAGACGTGGACAAAATCTGTCTCGTACTATGCTATCGATAAACCTTTGGAAGGTTTGAGCAGAATTCCGTAATCTAAATGGCATTGGTAGGAACTCAAACAGACCAAAAGGAGTCGTGATAGCGGGTTTTTCGATATCTTCACGAGCGACTGGGATCTGATGATATGTTCGTACCAGATCGATCTTCGAAAAGATAGTCGTGTCATTAAGCGATACCGTGATGTCGTGTTACTACAGGTTCATAACATTAAAAAACTCAGTATATTTTAATTTTCCTGAGATGATCCAGACAAATATTCACATGTAAATCTGTATGTTTTCTAATTTTTTTTTCACAAACATTTCAACATACTAATCAATACTAATTAGTTCGAATAGTACAGAAAATATATTTATAATAACATCTACGTAAACTTCATTAGTTTACATTACACACTCGTGATATTATTTATTTACTTATAAGTACGTCTATTTATCTAAACTAAGTAATCAGTTGGAAGCAAGATCTGATAGCTAAAATACATTCAGTCATTTCACAGATAAATTGTTCACACGGACCAGTGATTTGGTTAAATATTATTTTCTCGGATCTCCTATAGACAAATGTTTTGAAGTGTATTTTCAAAGTCATATCATTGGTTCGTTGATCCACTCCAAATAAATAATCTTCAGGTTATTTATTCAGAAGAACTTGCAATTTTCTGAACTCGAAACCAACCGACATGAAAAATATCTCGGGAAATTTCCTTGCCTGCACGTGTTATCGGCAACCGTAGCCGGCAAACACACACGTCTGTTATATGTCACTGATGTGATAATGAAAGTTCGCTACCTCGTCAATACTGATGCAGAAGTTAGTGTTCTTCCGGGAAATTCTAACCTTCGGTTTCACGAACCGGTTTTAAACTTACAGGTGGCAATCGGAAACTCTATACCTACATATGGTAAAAGGTACGTTTACCTTAACGTGGGTTTACGCGAACCCACCCAGTGGATTTTCGTTTTTGCAGATATTTCTATGCCAATTAGTATAGGTCTGCTACAACATCACAATCAACTCATTGATACGCGCAAACGGAGGCTAGTAGAAGGAAACACTAGTTTATCTGTTTGAGCAACTTCTTTTCCCGGTTGCAGATTATCTCCAGTCAGTCAGGCACACGATAGATTCCTTCTATCAACAATTACTCGACAAGTATACTGGGATATACCAATCGCAACCGAAATTGCCGTGTGTAACCAGCAATGTTGTACATCACATCACTACCACAGGATCTCCTGTATTCTCGAAAGCGCGCCTACTGGCTCCCGACGTTGGCCAAAAACGAATTCGACTACATGATAGAGTTAGGAATCATTCGGCCGCCAAGCAGCCCATGGACATCTCCCTTACACATGGTCCCTAAAATGGACAGCAACGATTGGCGTCCAACTGGTGACTATCAGCGATTGAATGCAAAACCCATTCACGATCGTTACCGTCACGATCGTTACCGTCACGATCGTTCACGATCGATCGCCTCACATTCACGACTTGACTGCTACCTTGAATGGTACAACTGTCTTTTCGAAAACCGACTTGGTCAAAGACTATAACCAAATTCCTATGGACACTGACGACATTCCTAAAACCGCTATCATTACATATTTAGGTCTCTACGATATTTTTGCATGCTTTTCGGCTTAAGAAGTGTTGCATAAAGTTTCCAAAGTTTCATCGATAATGGTAGTGCCTTTACTACTCCGAGGAATTGCGCATTTGTGCCGTTCATGTAGTGCTCTTAGAAGTCGACCTCTGCATAATAAAACCAGGCTTCGATGTTGTCTGGCCAAAAGGGCTTTAGTTGAAATGAAGGTGGAGTCATAGTCATTAACTTAAGTAACGTAGGTGTCTGTTTTGTCATGGCGAAATATCAAGTAAAAGAATGGACGAGAAAAAAATTTATTTATAAATAAATAAATAAATAAATAAATAAATAAATAAATAAATAAATATATATATATATATATATATATATATATATATATATATATATATATAAATACGAAAGAAAATCACAATATATAGAAATTAGAATGAAGCAATGACATATAGAATTACAAAAAGGAACAGACTCACATTTTTTAAGTTGGTGTACCAGATCACGTCGGGCTCACCAATAAAGATGCCACAGGTATTTTGAGTTTGACAATGCTTTAACCAGTAACACCTACCATGATTTCGTTTCGCAGTGTACTACAGACATACAACACATGTCTGGAGCAAATAATGTAGTTGCCGACGTCTTGTCTCATATAATTTTTTTGAACAATTTCCAAGGAATCGCCCCCCAGTCTCGCAATTTTGTGAAAAATTTCACCCATTTTGGGGAAGCTGCTATAGAAAATTTTGAGAAGATGGCATAAAAACCCCAAAATTTCCCAAAACTTGGGAGATTGGTCCTTCCTAAATTCGCCCAGCTTCAAAAAGAAGACACTGATCTTCAGGACGAGTTATCTTCAAAAACCTTAAAACTACTCATTACACAAATGGGGACAGGTAAGGAAACCTTATTATGCGACACATCTATAGGTCGGAATCATCCAATAGTGCCGAAATATTATCGACGCAACGTCTTCAATACGTTGCACAAACTTTCTCACCCAGGTGTTCGTGCAACCATCAAGCTCATAGCAGGACGGTTTTACTGACCTGGTATGAATAAAGACGTGAGGGAGTGGGAACGCTCCTGTGTAAGCTGCCAGAAATCTAAGGTGATTAGACACAACAAATGTCTCTTAGGCTCATTCAAAACTCTCGATGCTCATTTCGACCGTGTTCATCTGGATATGGTAGGACATTTACCAGTTGAATCTCATCCCCATAAAGGATCGGATTCGTGTGATAATTAGAAGTATTTGAATTATAGTATGAACTAAGAATCCCAAAAATAACGTAATCGGATCAAGAAGTACTAGATAATCACAAACGAATTTACTGTATTTAGAATTCGAAATCAAGCATTAAACAAGTACAAAGGAATCATTAGTTCATTCAAACACCATAGTTCGGTTATAGCGAAATCACTCAAAACTATTTATCGTAGAAAGGCGAAGGAAATTTTTTTACCATATATACATTCGTGATTGAAGTGAACAAAGTTAAATATTTAACTAATTTCACTATTAGAAGTATTAGAAATTCAGAAAAAGTATGCTCGCTAGTAAGAAAACAGAATACATCAAAATAAAGCAGTCGATGGCTTCTTGAAGGTCAGATTTAAAAACATGAAGATTGAAAGAGAACGTTCTACTGTGATCTTATAATGGATTACACTTCGAAGAAGTAGAAAAATAAAATGTTAACTGAAAGAGATATATGTACAAATACCGTCTTTGATAATTCTAGGCTACTCATCATCAAATTTCCTTCATTTTCTTTACAAATAATTAAACTGCTTTATTCCTGTCAAAAAGGTAAAATACTGTAATGTAAGAATATGATGTAGATATGAAATATAGACAAAAGTAAAGTTCAACAAACCAATCATCCCTGAGATATTGACTTCAAGTTCACGGAGCATACGTCTAACTAACATGATGCTTATCTTCGCATTATTAATAATCTTAATGAGACATGGTAAACATGTTACGAAATTCTTTGTTTAAAGTTATTTTTTTTGATAGAGTTCCAACAGCCAGTCATATTAAATAAATTGTTTTAAATCTAAAACATCTGTTGTGTTAATCATCGGCTGCTGCATCTAGAGAATAAGGGTTGATTATCTTAAAAATGACAATCCTAGTTGTGAAACAACCGCAAATCTCTTTTATTCACCCATCAAATATTTTTTCAAATAAAAGATGTCTCGTTCATTCACTGAAAGTTGATTAGAAAGTCTTCCAGTTAATAATTCAAAACCAGGTCGTTGGCCTATTAATCCTTCAGTTTAGTTCGGATATGTAATTGATTGTTTCTATGATAGAAATTTTATGTGTAAAAACAATTTCTCTGCATATTTAACAATCTACAAATTGAAGTAAAAACTGATCGAATCCCTGTGCAATGGTTCATATGATATTAGCAGCAATTTAGTGCTGAGTTATACATTGAATTAAACATATTAAGAATCAAGTGTAACACTACATGTCCCAAAGTTACCAATGATAGTCTTATCAGTGCATGTCATTCCAATATGATCTTGTAGGGCTAATCAGATAAGCCTCAAACAGAGGGTCTAACTCTCCCGTTTGATGAAATGCGTAATCGAAATCCATGGGAAAATCGATTCTTTGTTATATAATAAATACTGAACGTCTCATCAAGAAATACAGAACCATCTTATCACATTATTATTATTATTATTATTATTATTATTATTATTATTATTATTATTATTATGACTCTCACTATTGTCACAATAATCCAACCATGGCAGTTCTCCAAGTTTGCATATCATTTAAATTATTTTACTCTATCAATTATAAACACCCATTTTTCAGTATTTTTATTACCACTTTCTTGTATGACCTCAACAAATAAAGAAATATAATTATAAACAATGCATGACTGTTTTGATCAATATTTTTAAGTACACCTTGAAGTGGCAACTGTAATCGGATCTCTGAATTTAGAACATGAACTTATTCGAAAAATGCCCAGTTTTTTTTTAACAGACATTACTCATATGAGCTATCATCTTGTCTTGGATTTTTTTGCTGTTGTCTGAATGCCTTTCCTACCTTCATCGTCTCAACTATTCACTGTTCTATTTATACACCCACATATATAATTTTTAAAGGTTTTGCTTTAGTACGTTTCAACACACATGTAGTGATTAAAAATGTAATCATGAAGAATTGAGGTCTATAATTTAACTATATTTTAACACAGGATTAAATATCGAAGCTTGGAAACTGTGAAACAGTCATAAAAGCTTAAATTGTGATCAGTAATTATTTTCAAATTTGTCCCTTTCTGAAAGCAGAGCACCCAGCTGTCGACTGTTGGTACACCGTTGGAAAAAACGCAGGAATACAGAAATGAATGTTGACGTTTCACGACTTAAAAAGGCAGTGCAGATGGGTATTGCCTTAAAATTCATATCCAGGGCAACGACGTGATATAAATGGACGTTCTCGTTATTCGTTTTGTACGTCCCGTCAAAACCAATTACGTCACAAAAGAGACCGGCCAAATTCGGTTGCTCAGCAGTCATGAAGAAGAAATACGATAGACAGTTCTCATCGTCCAATTCGTATTCGCAAAGCCCACCCAAGGATGCTATGTGAGCTTTCAATTTCCCGTAATCACCTATAGTGTACATTATAAATTGGCAAATTGCTTACCAGGAAGGTTGGCGTGTGAGAACACTTTGTACCGCATATTACAGACATCTTGATCAGTCAGACGTTTCCTATGAGATTGGTAAGCAAAATTCTTTATGTGGAATGCAGCGGTACCAGATATCAGCAGCGGTCTCACAGTTTCAAACTCCCCATCCGTTAACCTGTGCACCCATGAATTACCTTGGTACCTCAGGGAATTGCACTCGTGATTGTGATGCCCATTCCCACGTACAACAGTTCAGTAGCCGTCTATAATCTTACAAAACATGAAGGCCGGACATTGGGTGTTCATAGAAGCCCTTCGTTAAGAATATTATAAAACCATTTACTAAATTACCTCCTCCGTCTAATACGTTGTGACGAACCGCTAGATCTTATACGCCCATTTCGCCAACACACAAATTTAATGTACGATTTTGATTTCTGCCAATATGCGAATCTCTCACTACATAATGACTGTAAGTCGATCTTTCAAAATTGGTGATAATGGACTTTAACGCTTCGACCGATGGAAACGCAACCAGAAACAAGGTAGTCAAAAAGACTTCCTCCATTTCCGTTACGTGAGAAACACCACCGCTTGTACTTGGCACGTCACTCTGCTCCATAATGACGATTGAAATGTGCTTCGTCGACAAGTACTGATAATTTATAACAATTTTCAAGACATAACTAACCAATTAAATCTAACTTTTGAAACTAGCCATTTCATTGGACGAAACACGGGATGAAAAATATTGTAATTTGGGGGTGGAAAATTTTTTATTGGGGTGGAGGTTTTTTTAAAAAAAATTGCCGGTCGGATAATATTATTCCTGATATTTTATAACAATTTGACAAGACATAACTAACCAATTAAAACGAATTGTAAAACTAGCCATTTCTTTGGACGAAACGGGATGAAAAATATTGTAATTTTGGGGTTGAAAAAAATTTTTTTAAAAGGGTAGAAGGGGTTTCTAAAAAATTGCCGTTGGGATAATGAAAACATGTCTTACTTTTAGCCTTTGTAAAATATTATAACTATGGACTTATAACTGTAGAGCCTGATGATGAAATTATTGAAAACAATTGTTCGCTCAAATATTCTTCATTTTTGAATATTCTATGGGGATTTTTAAACTTTTGTAATAAAGTATTTTTGTCTCAAATCAAGATTTGAAATTTAACATCACTACAAATAACCTATGATCATTTCCAGACAGTACTTATTCATGTTGTTTGGAAATGTTAGGAAATGAGTGAGTGATTCTTAGGTTTTTCTTTACCTAGTTGAAAAGAAATCACGTTTAATTTTCATGTTGACTACCTCACTTTCTTATTGTCATTCTGATAAACATGGGTTGAATTTACTGTTAACCGTAGAAACTACTTTAACAAAACCTCTGTTTAATGAGATATTAGAAACCATCTTACCATCTTAATGTTCTGTTTTTACATCCATCCTTCCACCAAAACATAAAGTTTTCATGTATAGTTGGCTCGAAGTAAGGAAGAGCATTTGCAAGTATGCAAAATTCACACTCCGGCTTGAACGACCATACAGTTACAACACCCCTTTTATGCCAAGCGAAATATTCGTTGTATGCAGTGTCATTTTTATCAAGGTACTTCAGATATTTGGCCAGTTCTTTCGGATTCTCAAATTGATCCACATGAATGAAAGAATGAGGTGGTGAAACCTTCTGATACTCCTCAATCGAGGCACCCATAACTATGGGTAATGCATTGTTCCTAAATAAATATGGACATAGATAGTTATTTCCAATACATTTTAGTCGAATATCTATTACTGATGATGATGCATACTAGAGGTTATTAAGGATGCCTGTGTTTCAAGTAATAGTGATTTAAATCGTCCAATAACACAGAGCTTTCTCCCATAATAGAACAAAATGGCAACCCTGGTTTCTATAGTGGTCTAGCTTCAATGGACTCATGTTATCAACTATTGAAATTACTATAATATCCACAAAAACCCCTCCTGATATTTATCTAAATACTTAGATGTGAGTACCTAGTGTCTTGTAACTGATAAAGAACCACTCTTTTTCTAGAATAACCTTTCAAAAAATCACTCTTTGTAGTACGCGAGATATATGTAAACAAATAATATACTAGATGTCTGAAACGAGATTGTCAAAACTCCCCAATCACCTATCCCAACAAGTGTGATTTATATGCTGATGCTTCAAAAGAAGCTCATAAGTTGCAACCTATTTACACTTTCTAACATTTGTTGCATTTCCCTTTCACTTTATACATTTTTACCATACAATATGATCTATGGAGTTTAGAATGATTTAGTTCAGATAATCGAGTAGCATCATTAGTTTCTGAAGTATACAGTCTTCTTGATGTTAAACTAATAAAAAAATACCTTTATTGCTTTCCAGAAACAACTCCACTTTTTAGTAGATCTCCTTAAATTTAAACAACCTCAGTTTCTATGTGTAGTCAATCTCGTTAAACATAACAGGAAATAAATAATTTTTCATTGATTAGTTTATCGACCTTAAAAGCTGTATCCAGTCAGTCAGTCAGCTACAACGTAGGACCAGGCACATATATGCATCGGTCCAAGTCGCCATATCTCATTAACAGAACAAGATGAAAACCGAATTCATAGAATTAGTTAATTCAGTGGTGGTAATATATAAAAGACAGATTGCATATAAGGGCATAGTACAGGAAGAAAGAATTAGTTCGTAGAAAGAGAGATATAAAGCGATTTTAATCTGATAGTTTAAGGGAAGACAAAGAGGGTATACACCTACGCCATTGTGATCGATTCTGAGCCATGTCACCAAGAGCCTCCAACCATTGGTTACGACAGTCACGCGGACCCCAACCAAGTACTCTGCATCTATCAACATGGCTCAGACCAGAAAACAGAGACTTCAAGCACTGATGCCACGTTTTGGTTTAGCCGCCCACAACTTCCTTGCAACCATCTCCAGCACCGGTTAGCATTGCACATCGTGGTAATCGGTGTTCAGGCATACGTAAAACGTGGCCCATTCATCTCAGTCGATGAAGATTAACAACCTCATAAACTGATTTACCATCATTCACTAATACCCTGCGTCTAACCTCACTATTACTTACCCGGTGAACCTAGCAGACGCCAGCAATATTTCTAAGGCATCTGTGGTCAAATACTAGTAGCTTACGAGTATCTTCTACTCTTAATGGCGTCGATTCGCAGCTGTAAAGTAGGACAGAACGGACTGCCGCTCAGTATACTCGTCCTTTTATTGATAGACGGATATCTCGCCTTCGCCATAGGTGATGAAAAGTGGCAAAAGCCAAACGAGCTTTTTGAATCCGTGCTGAGACTTCGTCAGACACCAACCCATTAGGACTGATCAGACTCCCAAGATGAGTGAAGTTGTCAACGCGTTCGACTAATTCACCCCCTATCCTTACTTCAGGTTTTGACGCAGGCCAGTCCTGAAACAACAACTTGCATTTAGAGGGGGAAAAGCGTATCCCAAACATTCTAGCGTTGTTACTTAATGCTACCAAAAGACTCTGCAATTTGTCAGCGTCTTCACCAATCAGGACTATATCATCTGCGTATTCTAAGTCGTTAAGTGGACCTCCTGGTAGGAGATCAATGCCCGAAAACTCAGTCAACGACAGCGTTATTTCCATCAGTAGGTCTATGATCAAGTTAAACAAAAATGGAGAAAGTGGACAGCGTTTGCGGACACCATTTGAGGTTGCAAAAGCAGATAACAGTTCGCCATATACTCTAACTCGACTAGTAGTGTTCAAGTAAAGAGCCTGCACAAGGTTTATGTATTTCTGAGGTACGCCTTTCAATGACAGACACTGCCACAGAATCTCGCGGTCTATGGAGTCAAATGCTGTTTTTAAGTCAACAAAGACCACCATTGGCGGACACCGGTAAGCATGCCTGTGTTCTAGAACCTGACGAATGGTGAATATGTGGTTGATGCAGCCACGACCAGGTCTGAAGCCAGCCTGGTTTTCGTGTGTTTGCAGTTCACGAGTCTTAGTTAGTCGACCGACAATTATTGATGCTAGTATTTTAGATGCTATGTTAGTCAGGATGATTTTGACCCTCTCTTATATATTGGGACGATCAGTGATTGTGACCAGTCAGATGGGATTACGTCTAACTCCCAGATTTTAGCTAAAATATTAGTCAAACTAATCGCTAGAATTTGACCACCATCCTTAAAGACCTCTGAAGCCAATTCATCTGGACCAGCTGCTCTTCCTCGTTCCAGATTAACTATAACCTCTTGAACTTCAGCTACAATTAAGGGACCTACTCCAGTGTTCCATTCACACTATCTGGGAATGGTGGGTAGTTGTAGAGTAACTGAAGGTCAGCTGAACTGCTCTCTAAAATGTTCCAACCATCGTTTTAAACGTCTGGACTGGGAGCATATGAGAGCGTCGTCTTTTTCCGAGATAGTCTCACTTTAACTTGACTTATTACTTCCAGTTTCTTTTATTAGTCTGTAGAGCTGTCTTGTGTTCCCTATAGCCACCACCTTTTCTATCTCTTTTGTTTCCGTTGCCCACCACTGCTCACGGTCGTTCCTTATACCTTTGCTTAACCTAGATCTGATTCGTTTTCGCTCATCATCGTGTTCAGAGCGTGATGGGACGAGTTTACGAGAATTCATCAGGGCAATAGACTTAGAAGAAATCCATTGGTTTTTTGTAACTCTTTGGTTTAAATCGCTAACAGATGTCACTGCCGTTTTCACAACTGATTGTATATCTTTCCAAGAAACACCGGGGTCAGTCTCGTTTTCAGAACTAACTAAGTATGACCTCAGTTGTTCCTGGAACAGACTTTTGGTTTTCTCGTTACTCAATTCAGTTCTAATGGGTCTTTTTAGTATGGCTATTCTGAGTCCAGTGAGGCTCAAGCAAATGTGTGCCCGTATTAGAGCATGATCGGAGTCCAAGCAGGTACCCCAGAATGAGCGACAATCTTCTATCGACCGTCTCCAACGATGACTGATGGGAATATGGTGTATTTGAGTCCATCGTTCGTTTGGTACAGAGGGTCACCATATTAGACGATGTCTCTCCTTATGCTTAAAAATTGTGTTTGCTAAAAATAAATGGTTGTATGAACACAGTTGCAGCAGACGATCACCATTATCTGTTCGCTGAGCCGGAATATCTGGGCATTAAAGTCACCTGCTACGATCACTATATCTGAACGTTTAGCTTTCTGACGAGGTCCAGAGAGCTTTCTGTAAAAGTCATCTTTCACTCCATTCGGACTGCAGTCAAAGGGAGTGTAGACAGAAATGACGGAAATGCAACGACGCGTGTCTCTATGCTCCCGAGTTCTTACGGAACCGTTTAGCCGAACAACACATAGACGACTGTTAACGGGGATCCACTCCAATAATGCTTGTTCCGCCCTCATGCTCAATGCTATACCTACACCTGTCAGTCCACGAGAACTAGGCATCGGGTCGCCAGATACACGTAAGTTGTATCTCGTTGTCTCTCCGTTTTACCGATGTGAGGTCAAGTGAATGACCGCACTAGGATCCTGTATGCGTGTTTCAGAGACACAGCCTACATCAATGGTACGAAATTCTAGAGTCTCAGATAAGGAGGCCTGATGACCAATTTGACATAGGGTGCGTACGTTGAAGGCTCCAATATGTAGTTTGGAGCGAGAGTTCAGTAGACCTGGGAGTGTTTTGAGCACTAGAATCGTTGGCTATGCTGACACTTGAGGAGGAGGCCAAAAGATGAAGTCTAGAGTTGAAGGTCGATTTAGGAGGAATAATAGAAATCGGAGAGGGAGGTTGATTATAAACACAAAGGTCTTGAGTGCTGTTGGAAGTATGAGGGCGGGTATCGATTCCCGGCTGTCCACACCGTGGAAGGGTTCTTCTGGAGGTACCTGAAAAGCAAATTGCATTAGAGGTGGTCATAGTGACCTGAGAGCGTGATCGCAGTGACCAAGGGATAACTTCTTGAAGTCGGTCACACACGACCTTTTCATGGGTTATTTTCTTGTTAGCTCTGTACTTGTTGAGACCTTACCGCCGGAGACGGATATCCGTGAGATAAGGCGAGCTGTGCATTTTTAGGGTCAACCTTTCCTAACTCCACCCCTCCTTGTGGCAAGGCAGCATCGCCGTCATGCTGGTTGTCTGAAGAAAAAACCTTACTGCTGTCACACCTCTGTACAGTCAGCAGTACGACATCGCCCTCACACTTTGGGTTTGCTACTTCTAGTATTACCGCTCTTCAACCGACCTGTCTGGCATGGTAGGACCTTGAGGAACGATTGTTCCAGCCAATATAGCTCGATTGGTTCATCACGATAGGCAAGCCCGACCACCACGTCAAGGTAGCAACAACAACGATGGTTGGGGAACTGTGTCCATGATGTGATAATCATTTTTACGTAATGTAACGGCGAATAAATCCCCAAAATCAATTGCTCTGTAAATCTTCGACGTTGGATACTTGTGGTGCGTGCTACTTATATTGACTTAAGTAGTATACAACGCGAGTCAGGAATGTAATGGCTGGCACCAGAAGATTGGGAAGATCGAGAGAAAAAGAACGGTAATAGAAAGCACATAGTATAAAAATGCAAGAACAATGAAGTCCGAGACAATTATTGAACATCTTGCAAATTGGGTATTATAGTATGGTTTTTCTATTATTAAATATATCTTCGAACTTCATCGCTTCCGACCTTTGATTTCACTTGGTGGGTACGATTCCTAGTAGAAGGTGTTACTGGTTAAAGCATTGTCAAACTCCAAATACCTGTGCCATCTTCAGTGGTGTTTGAAATCGATAAATTACAGTTAAAAAACAGCATACAAATTATTTTGACGTGATTTCAATGAACCGTTACTTACATTAGTGCGTTGAAGAAGAACTTTTCTGTTATATAATCTTGGCATAGTGAATTTTCAAAACTCAGGTAAAACTTGTAATGTTTCCGTACCAAATCAAAACATTGCGAACCAGAGCAGGTCATCCGACCACATCGACCATACACATCAACCTAAAGTTAAAAACATTATGGTAAAAAGACAAATTCCAATCACTGAAGCTTGTTTACAAACAATAGAATTTTAGGTGTTCAGAACTGCTTCGTTCACTGGAATACAAAATACGTACACTTTCCAGATAATTTAATAAAGAAACTTGAGAAATTCATGTACGTTTTCTGATAAAAAGAAATATTAAAAGATTTTAAAGTTACACGATTTCAGCTGTTCGAATATCTAAAATAAAATAAAATCTGTTACAAAATTAAGAAGAATAAACTAATCTCAATAGTAGAAGATGTTAGTTGTGTTAATAGATATTGTAACTCCAATAATCTTGTAATGACCTTTTTAAGACCCAGAGATGACCATCAACTACACTAGCGATTTTTTATGATTTATTTGAATCAAACACTAATTAAAAACAATTATTTCATTATTGGTCAGTCGTCATGATTTACCATAAAACATCCTTTAATTTTTTCATAATCCAAATGTATGATATGAACTGTCATGACTGTAATGCAGCATATGTAGGCGAAACTTCAATACAATTGAATGTGAGGTTAAAGGAACACAAATAATGTGTGAAAAATGTTCCCAAATTCTTGGTTGATCTTAAGAAACTTGAGAATAGGTCGGCGATAGCGTTACACGCGTTGGAAACACGACACGAGATCAATTTTGAAGGGACCAAAATATTTCAGAAAGGTTTTAACACATAAAGAAAGATTGAGAGCAGAAGTCCTGTATATATGAGCGAACAGGAACAGCCTGAAGAAAAAGAATGGTATTCAACTAGCAATGACAGGGCCATTATTCGTTAACAAGTAATTGGTCAGTTCTCACTCTCCAAATGCTTTCACATGGCCACGTGCATACAACCACTGCAAGGGAAGCCCTACTCAATGCCTTCTCGCGGCAGGGGTGTTGTTTAAGAAATTGAGAGGCCGAAAAGCGAATGTCCGGCGCTTTAACTGGGTTGGTAGATATGGAGGATCCACCTAGGGGAGATGGAAAATCCTGATTGCAAACCGATGGTGCACATGGGCTCCAGGATCCTGAGGGAGCAAATGGCGTATGGACCTATTGTTGGTCACCGGCTACCATGGGACTGCATCTCCTAAAGTTGCTCCATTGTCTTGTAGATCAAATCTTTGAGTCAAAGGCTCCGGGTGTGGCCCCCTAAGAAAACCACCTGTTTAGGCCTTGGCAACCAGGCAGTATCACAGCCCACACACAAATAAAATGAAAGGACAGTAATTACTGGAAATATTATTCTCGCTTAAATTAAAATTCAGACAATCCACATTCATTTTTATTTCTTTATATACCACATCACTTGTCTACTCACTTCTATTTTCACTTTATGTACCCTTATTTCTCAACTTGTACAGCGGCTTGCCTATGGCGGAAACCATGTTCTATCTAAACGATCTCGAGTCACTGACTGACCGAAAGTAGAATGCTACCACCGAATACGAATACTGAAACAGTCCTCCTGAAACCAAGCATACCACCCAAACTGGCTTCCTTCAAATTTCGCGCACCAATGTCTTTAGAAAGTCTAAATATTGACGCTTGTTGTCTATCCGAGACCCGTATTCAAGACTAGTGAAGTACTACAAATTTTCTCTTCATCCGTCACTTCGAAAAGATTGTTCCGCGTGAGTTTATCCGGGAACGCTTACCTTACTTCTCAGTGGCCAACAAATTCATCATCCTGAATGGATTGATGTCAGTAAATTAGTTGCAGCTTCTGTTGCAACTAAATATCAAACTAAGCTAGGTTCAAGGACAGCCACCATCCCACCGAAAAGTATAGATGAGCATTGGTTGCAATTGCATGACGCCATCAAAATGGCGAGTAAAGCCGCTTGCGGCCTCGCCAAATGTCCAGCTTATTAGCACTGGGTTTCTTCAGGCTCCTTACAAATCATTGAAGCCCGTCGGTCTACTCCGAAAGCCCGTGAGTTTGACCACAAACGACGACTGTTGCGTAATGAAATTGGACGAAGCTTGCGTAAGGATAGAGAAGTCTGGTGGTCGGAGCCTGCTAATGAGCTAGAAGCAGCAGCTGCATCTGGTTACTACCGAAAGCTCTTCCAACTCATCCGAGCCACTGGCAGCAAGAAGTCTAGCGTGGGCGAAACAGTCTGTGAGAATGACGGGATGCCAATCACTAACATCTATCGACGTCTTGGACGATGGGCAGAGTTCTTCGGATGGCAGTTCAACTGGCCTGCTGCTCCAGCAACATCGGTCAGACTGTCCTGCCCTCCATGGCCGGTGACAACTGATCCACCAAATGAGGCGGAAGTCCGCAAGGAACTCCAACTCTTGAAGCGCAACAAAATCACTGGGCCCAGTTGACTCACCTTCGGCCCTCTTTAACGATGGTAACGACCTTCTGGTTAAGGAACTGACAACGTTGGTTACAAAGGTTTTAGAGTTAGAGAGTGCTTCAACATCATATAAACTGTGCATCTTTGTAAACTGATTAGTTCAAATTCAAATATCATCAAGGGCTTTGATTGGGCGTGAGAATTCGCATTTTTAAATTTGAATTTTATTTCGAATAAATAATTATGTCTGACTGTTCCATCCGAGTTTTAATAAAAATCTCAACTTCTGAAAAATATACACCAACTGCATTTCACTATCCTGCTATACTCCTGTCAGTGAATGTATATCGGGATAAAGTTTTTTTCGATCAAGTAGAAATGGAACTGAATTCGTCAGTTATCATCACAAGAGAAATTATATGTATATCATTAAAAGAAAATTTGGGCAGAACTAATAACTGGTTCTAATATTTGATAGTGATTATCAAAGTTGAAAGGTAGTCAACTGTTTAATACACAATTAGTAAACAAATTATCACCTAAGTATTTCCATTAGTTTTTTCCTAACACATCGTATTCAACGTATCAATAAATCATCATGGTAAATAATGAATAGGACATGTATTATTCACACTAACCATTAAGGATCGGTAAATGAAGCAACTTTTACGCTATCCCAAAAAAGTAATAATTTCTGAGAAAGAAGCAAATAATATTTATGATTGGGTTATTTTGTAAACAATAATTCTTAATTCAGAAGTGTTGTTTAGTTTCGCTTTAAAAAGGGTTTCGTTAATAAAACGTTAGATTGTAATTGAGTTATTTTTCTAATCCATTATAAGCGTAAACTGTTTTTACCTGTACATTCTTTGTAGTTGTGCAGTTTGTAATTATGACAAAATATACTTGTCTGTGTAAGCAGTCATGTAAATCGGTTATTGTGCTTGGGAAGTGCGCGTTAGGTTTTTTTCACGTTATGTCAACAGCAAATATTTTGTAAGTGCGCAGTCTAGCCAAATCATTATCTAAATTTGTAAATGACATTGCAAACTTTACTTATTTATAAAGTCGAAAATAAATAAAATTAATTATTTTCTCTAGATAACTGTGAGAAATAAGATGAATACACTAGATATCAGCTAGATATCAGAAAAAAAATTCACGCAACTTCGTGGATTGGTTGAGGTTAGACATTAACACCATTGGGTGTCGATTCAGTGGCCCAATAGGTTAGGCGTTCGCGCGCGAGACTGAAGGCCTCGGGTTCGAATCCCGCTAGCGGGATCGTGGATGTGCAGTGCTGAGGAGTCTCACAGTGGGACGAAACGGCCATCCAGTACTCCCAGGTTCTTAATGGTGGTCTAACATCAATCGGTTCATGATCTCAATCAGAAATACTTATGTTTGGTACTGTGAATAATTATCAGACAATTGATATTGAACAACTGATTGAATCATTTGATATAATCAACTTACTGTAATATATTTAGCCAGTTCATTTGCATAAACATTTCTTGGACTCCTAGGATAACAGTTACTCACTATCCAGGCAACAGCTCTGTCTTTTCCTTTCGCTATATTCTCCAATTTTGTCGAATGGATTGTTTTATTGATATCATCTGTTTTAGGTTCATTCGGTGTATACATTCCATAAGGTGTGCGAATAGTTGAATCAAATCGATATGATGCAGTGAAGTTAATCTGAGAAATATACAATAAATAAAATGAATGTTTCTATCGGACGAATTTTTTAAAAATCCTGCTAGATATTTAAAAGATCCTATATCCATTTTAAATACAAGTGAATTCTTTCACTGTAAATGTGTAAAAGTAAACCATGAGTCGATACCAACATTTAAAACATTTTGAAATAATTAGGGCAAATATATTAGTCGTCAGTATTATGTACAACACAATGCAAAGCATAGAGAAATCAACTGGGAGAAAACTCAACAAGACACAAATACAAACTTATTTTTATTGATTTACTCGGAAAGGTTTACACACAACAACTATCGACGAAAAAATTCTTCAAGTTACTTTAAAATCATATGCGTTTTTTGTACTGGCCTCAGTTAGAGGCGAACTCTACGAATTAATTATTGATTGCATACATGCTTTCATTTACCTATGTGCAAACTTCAGACAAATCTAGATTATGAAATATGGTAGTTAAATAGACGGAGACAAAAAAGAATATTATTACACTACTTTGTTCTTTCAAATTGTAAGGAAAAAGCATTATTTACCCATAATTATTTGAATAAACTTAACCTTATTTGATTGAATATTCGAGACTGTTAAACTCACTTTATCATTAAGTTCATCACTAAATCGAGTATGGAGTGCTGATTCATACTCAAATGCCACCCAAGCCTGTTGATGTGGACGCTTACCGGAAGGAAATTGTCTGTTTGGAATTAAAATAAGATCACTTTGAATCCAACGAGTTGTATCAGTATGAATAACACAATTGTTCACTGGACAATTTGTTACATCTTTGTTCATATCTGCCAACATCCGCCCGTAGATGATAATTTCATGTTTCTAAAAAAAGCATTTTGAGATAATTTCGAAGCTCAGACAAAATGTCATTAATATACTACTCAAAATGTGTACAACATTTGGCATACTTGTTATATCCCGACGAGAATTATGAATGGTAACTTTTAAAACTACTTATGGACCAATAAGATACATGTATTTCAATTGTATAGTCGTTAGGCAGCTAAACTATGCATGTTCATGTTTCTCTTATTATAAGCTTCATTTTTACCTATAGACGATTATTATACGATTTACCGTTCTTGAGTTCTGCCCAATCTATTAATTACAGTTCCCCACATTCACAGCCACTTTTGGCTAGATCTTGTACAAACGTTGTTTTCCATTTTGTGGTGTGATGTGGTCTGTTTGGTTTGTGTGTAAACATAGTATGTTTAAAATACATGATTCACATCGCGGAGGCTGGGTTTGATATTCTGGAATCAATAGGCAGAGCTAAGCAGGAAGAAGGACCGATAATGATTCTAGACTGCTCGCACGGGCTTTATGCGTCATTGGTCAGGTAGATAAGTCACTATTCTCTAATTGGCGGTACCATTACATTATATATTAATAGGGAAAATGGATACAAGTTATAACAAGACTTTTATGTATTCTAATTAGGCTACTTCATGAAAAAGAATGTCAGTCATTGGTGAAAACAAACCAACTAATTATCACGAGCGAACCGAAACAATAAGGCTCCATTCTGTTTATTTCGATTAAACGTGCTTTCGATTATGACACGTTTACATGCAAACAAGATAGTCACTACTAACCTAAAAATAATCTATAATACAATCGAAATAATTTAGTTCACATAATGTCAGTTATTTAGTACGAGTTATAATACTATCAACAATATATTAGAATTCTCATGAAACGATATAAAACATGGTCAATCGGAGTATATATCGATTTAATATAAACATAACACAACTAGTTGAAAAAGTTGAAGGTGACTCAAGTTTGATGAGAAAAATAAAACAAGAATGATTTGTAAGAGAGCACAACACGAAAATAAAATCTAATCAGTTCAATAACGTGAAATAGATATACGATTTGTTTCATATACGTGAATTGACAGCATCTACCAGAAAACTGTGAAAATTAAGTCTCTATCTGTTCTGACCGAAGTGTTTTGTATTAGATATAAATATGAATGTATGTCGTTTTCGAGGAATTGTTCATGACAATTTCATCGTTATTTTGCACATTTTTGCGCCGTCATTAGTTCTGATTTTGGGCTACTCATATCGTTGATGAAACCACCTGATTAAATATGTTAGTAAAACAATATCTGAATAGGGAGATGGAAGAAGAACTGTTGACTTTTTTGGTTTGGTAAATGTGAAGAACGTTAATGTTATTTGTTTTCTGGATGAAAAGGAACAAGCTTAAAATACCATGATGAATTTTCAGTCAGTTTCTATCCATTCAGAAAATAAATTCGCTTTGTGTTGGTTTATTTGTTTCTTCCCATTGTTATTTAGGACTGAAATTAATCAGTCTCCTGTTGGCATGTGTGCATCCTGTGAGATTGTCTCGATATAGCCTTAAATCATAAGCTTTTTAAGCAAAGGTGTATAGTGACTAGCAATGGAATCCAGGACGCGCGTTTCGTCCCATTTGTGACTCGTCTTCTGGATGTACCTATATCTCAGGGTTGATTTTCACTCCGGGACTCGGTTCCTCCGACCCTTATAAGGAGTCAAACTGAATTTTAAGAGTCCATATTCTGTTCCCATGTCAGATGTGGTACAAAATGCTTTGTAGTTTTATTTATAAATGATTTTTACTGTAAGAGTAGAAGAGATGCTATTTTATTAATTCATCCATAAAATATAATACTCTCGGGTTTATATTTGTCCCAGAACTAAGGTACGGGGTTAGGAATCAGGGACAGTGTTGATTTGTCTACAGAGAAAGAGTTAAGCATTTGACACATCTGGTAGTAACAATTTTATTCTGTGGTTGCAGCAAAAAGTTTTCTTTTTCTTTTAAAAGTTCTAACGCTAGAGAGAATTATTTACTGCTCGTTATACGTGATATTTGAATCTAGCTAATAAACCTAAAAGTCGTCCGTTCCGTCCCTACACCGTACTTATATGGTTTTCTGATTTGGGTATGAGACTGAGAAGAAAAGTGCATCAAAAGGGTCTAAACAACGAACCTTATTATATGTAAAACAACATAGTAATTAAGTAGGTTACCTCCAGACATGTTATCATGAGCACCCTCATTAAACGAAAATAAAAAATAATCAGATCAGAAATAAGATAAGACTAACCTTGGTTTTATTTAACAGAAGACGCCCAATCATTACGTCACTGAAAAAGCATCATGTATACAAGAATGGACATTTCTCACTTTCTGAAAACTTTGAAGTTCGGATAATAAACAGGCTGTTTAACCATATTCCATATTGCTAGGTTTTGGTAGTTTGAAATATACTGACCTATTTCGTTTAGGCTAAGACCCCACATGTACCAAATTCCAAATGTAACAGTTGAGACTGCCAAGATTATCATAACTTTGAGTCTAACTACTGAGGTGATTCTAGGGAAGTCTTTGACAGATTCCATAGTGAAATTATTCGAATAAACCTTCGTCTCAGTAAGTTTCATTAATTTATGAATATGTGTTACTAGTAAATTTAGAACACCAATAATTAAGCTTTTCAGTAGTTAGAATGTATCCAATCCGATTTAAATATAGAACACATAAGAAGGTCGGCCCAATTAGATTGCTCATGTTCTAAAATATGGTTAGCAACTTTGTGACAATGATTACACAGAATGAATGTAATTGGTGAAGATCGTAATTAAACATATATCTTCATTTTGTTTCCGTGGTGAAACTATCAGTGTACGCAATATCGACCACGTGTAACTAAACATAAGCTGTGTAGTACAGTAAATTTAAAAAGAATTCACTTATTGTTAGATTAATTTAATAAATTTAAATGTCTTTCAAAAAAATAAGCGTTTAATCGATGTGTGAAACTCGCCTATGAAATATTCAGCTTAGAATATGTTTTGGTAAGATGGGAATTAGTGCGAATCGAACAATTTACTATGTTGTATGAAATAGCTATATCAAATTTGGACGGGAAACTGTAGATACAAATGATGTATTATCTACTAAACTTGATAATACTTTTTAACTAACAGTCAGTAATATGTAGATTTTATTCAAATTAATCGTTAAAACAAGTATAATTCAACTTCATCATACACTTCATTCCGTTGATGACTTTCTACAAAGTAAAGTTAACAGCCTGAATACACATAAACAGTCATAACCAATGAGACAAGAGAAAAATAAACGAGGCGTGACCAATGAACAGTACACTATACTTCCACTTTTCACTTCTAATGAGAGAAATTAATTAAATCTTCTCACCGATTGTCATGAGCTAGACGATACACGTAAAGTGTAATCTAACTGGTTGTCATTTTGATCTCAAATCAACTGATACTGGTAAATGGCAGTTAGTGAGATGTTTTGAATCCGTTGTAAAATGAATGAGCATCAGGCATATGATTGTATGGGAGGAGCTTATGTTTAAAAAAAGTCAGTCTACACTCAAACCAACTCCCACAGTGCAAATCCTGAACCGAATTCGACGAAGGGTGAAATGATAGTACCGAAACTCATTATTCGATTTACATTTTAATTAACAGCAACAGTCAACTATGTAACACCTGACAATCAGTATTCATGTTATATAAAGTTCAGGGATTGTATGAAGTACAAAAATCAAGAGTTGAATAATTAATGTTTAGAATTGTACATAATTCGACAATTTATGTATGAACACAACAAGGTTTGATACTATGTGTCATGAATGTTCGCCTATATGTAGTAATTTGCTATTGTCCAGCGGTTCTCTAAGTTTAATAAAGGTGATTTAAGGAATCGATTGAGTTACTAAGAAATTCAGACAAATATCTTGTGAACAACAACTTACGACAATTGTTAAATCATTTTATCCTGTAAAAGAACTTGAATTATTTCAGATGAAGATATGGGACCATAACTGAATTGGAAGTTTGGAAATGAATTCAATAGGAATTGAACAGGAATTAATGCGATTTGAATGTTGTTAACATTTATATTCTAATTATTATACATCATTTATAGGTATCAATGAGAAGATCTCTTAACTCACACATTAACTTCATTGATTCCAATTTAATATGTAAACAAATAGCAATACAGAGATTGTACCATCAGTGCTTACTTACTTACTTACGCCTGTTACTCCTCGTGAAGGAGCATAGGCCGCTCACCAGCGTTCTCCATCCAACCCTGTCCTGGGCAATCCTTTCTAGCTCCGTCTAGTTGTAATTCATCCTTTTCATATCTGCTTCTATTATCCGACGCAATGTGTTCTTTGGCCTTCCTCTTTTTCGCTTCCCCTCAGGATTCTAAGTTAGGGCTTGCCTCGTGATGCAGTTTGACGATTTGCGTAATGTATGTCCTATCCATTTCCATCGTCTTTTCCTAATTTCTTCTTCAGCTGGAAGTTGGTTTGTTCCCTCCCACAGAAGGCTGTTGCTGATGGTATCCGGCCAATAGATGTTGAGTATCTTGCGAAGACAGCTATTTATAAATACTTGTACTTTCTTGATTGTGGTTGTTGTAGTTCTCCAAGTTTCAGCTCCATACAGTAGAACTGCCTTGACGTTCGTATTGAAGATTCTCACTTTGATATTGGTTGAAAGTTGTTTTGAGTTCCATATGTTCTTCAATTGTAGGAATGCGACCCTTGCTTTGCCGATCCTCGCCTTTACGTCTGCATCTGAGCCTCCTTGTTCATCGATGATGCTTCCCAGATATGTGAAGGATTCTACATCTTCCAGAGTTTCGCCATCAAGAGTGATTGGATTGCTGTTCTCCGCTTTGAATTTGAGGACCTTAGTTTTTCCTTTGTGTATGCTGAGGCCTACTGATGCAGAGACTGCTGCTACACTGGCTGTCTTCATCTGCATCTGTTCGTGTGTACGTGATAGGAGGGCTAGGTCATCTGCGAAGTCCAAATCGTCTAATTGATTCTGAGCTGTCCATTGTATTCCGTGTTTTCCTTCAGATGTCGAGGTCTTCATAATCCAGTCGACCACCAGAAGAAAGAGGAAGGGAGAGAGTAAACAGCCTTGTCTGACTCCGGTCCTTACTTGGAATGCATCTGTCAGCTGTCCTCCATGCACTACTTTGCACTGTAGTCCGTCGTATGAGTTCTGGATTATATTGACAATCTTCTCAGGAATTCCGTAGTGTCGAAGAAGTTTCCATAACGTCCTCCTGTCTACACTGTCGAATGCCTTTTCATAATCAATGAAGTTGATGTATAATGATGAGTTCCACTCAACTGATTGTTCGACGATGATCCGTAGTGTTGCAATTTGGTCTGTGCACGACCGATCCTTACGGAATCCAGCTTGTTGATCTCGAAGTTGGGCGTCTACTGCATCCTTCATCCGGTTCAGCAACACTCTGTTGAAGACTTTCCCTGGTATTGACAGTAGTGTTATGCCTCTGTAGTTTTCACATTTGCTCAGATCTCCTTTCTTTGGAATCTTGACGAGGTGTCCTTCTTTCCAGTCCATCGGCACTTGTTCCTCCTCCCAAATCTTTTTGAATAGAAGATAAAGCATGCTTGTGGTTGCTTCGATGTCTGATTTCAATGCTTCAGCTGGTATGTTGTCGGGTCCTGCTGCTTTCCCGTTCTTGATTTGTCTGACGGCCATTCTAATTTCTTCCGTAGTTGGTGGATTGACATCTATAGGAAGATCTATGTGTGCTGCTTCGATGTCCACTGGATTCATTGGAGCCGGCCTATTCAGGAGTTCCTCGAAGTATTCTACCCATCTGTTACGCTGTTGTTGAATTTCGGTGATTGGCTTGCCTTCTTTGTCTTTGACCGGCCTCTCTGGTTTACTGTATTTCCCTGATAGTTTCCTCGTTGTATCGTAAAGCTGTTTCATGTTTCCTTCTCTAGCAGCTTTTTCTGCCGTCGTTGCTAGTTCTTCAACGTATTTCTTCTTGTCGGCTCTAATGCTCCTCTTCACTTGTTTGTTTGCTTCTATGTATTCAGCTTGTGCTTGGACTTTCTCTGCTCGTGTTCGGCTGTTGTTTATTGCTGCCTTCTTGTCCTTCCTTTCTTTGATCTTGTCCAGTGTTTCTGTAGAGATCCATTCCTTATGATGGTATTTCTTTAGACCGAGAACCTCTTGACACGTTGAAGTTAATGCTTCCTTGATGCCTTCCCGGTTTCCTCCATAGTAGTTTCTTCTTCTTTCAGTAGATCTTGTAAGGCTTGGAACCTGTTGTTGAGAGCTATCTTGAATTCATTGAGTGTGTCAGTATCTCGAAGGAAGGCTGTATTGAACCTTTGTAGTACTGTTTGTCCAGTTGTCCAGTTCTTTTTCAGCTTCAGTTTCAAATTGGCTACAACTAGATGGTGATCTGAAGCTATGTCAGCACCTCTCCTGGTTCTCACATCTTCCATTGTCCTTCGGAATTTTTTGTTGATGCAAATATGATCTATTTGGTTCTCTGTAGTGTGGTCCGGTGAGATCCATGTAGCCTTGTGTATACGCTTGTGTGGAAATATTGTGCCTCCTATGACCAATTTGTTGAATGCACATAGATTCGCAAATCTTTCTCCATTTTCGTTTCTTCCTCCCAGTCCATGTCGTCCCATAATATCTTCATATCCAGTGTTGTCTATTCCGACTTTGGTATTTAGATCTCCCATCAGAATAGTTAGGTCCTTTCTTGGGCATTTCTCAATGATTGACTGCAGCCGCTCGTAGAATTGATCTTTAATTTCGTCGTTGCTATCATGGTGGGTGCATAACACTGGATAATATTCATTAAGATCCCCTCCTTCTTTGTTTTAAATGATGCTTTGATGATTCTGGATCCGTGAGATTCCCATCCTACAAGTGCATTTCGTGCTACTTTGGACAGCATAAGAGCGACTCCCTGAGTGTGTGGAGCATTGTCCTCTTCGTGACCGGAGTATAGCAGCATCTCTCCCGTAGCTAGTCTTTTCTGTCCAGCTTGGATCCAGTGGGTTTCGCTGATTCCCAGTACTGCTAAGTTGTATCTCCTCATTTCCATTGCTATTTGACTGGTCTTCCCGGTTTCCCACATTGTTCGAACGTTCCATGTACCTATAAAAAATTTTTTTGCTCTGGTTGTTAGAAGGGGCATCGGCCTCGTGGCTTCCGAAGGCACTCGGCTTTCACCATGAAGCGTCATAATTCTTCTAAATGAAGACCTTCTAACTCCCAAGGCAGAGTTAAAATGGTTTGGATTATTTTTTCTGGTAAGCGTTTTTTTAGCGAGTTAGTTTTCTACGGGATGGGGACGCTAACCCCATGCCCAACCCTCCTCCTTTACCCGGGCTTGGGACCGGCAGCAACCCTATAAGAGCTACAGGCGGAGTTATACCATCAGTGCACTGGTTTCTAATTTGAACGCATAGTTTCATCCAAGTAAATCGATATCATGAGTTAAAAGTATTCTCAAGTGAAATTTTAGCATATTTTCTGAATCTAAGTTTGGTTTCTCTTTAGAATAAATAAGTAAATTAAACATTTTCTGTGACCTATTTCTTTCGTT